ATATATATATATATATATATATATATATATATATATATATATATATATACTCTGAATATTTGGATGTTGTAAAAAGTACGGTGTCATCTCAAAAAATATCCTAATAATGAACTAATTTAGTGAACTAATTTTTCGCTCTACTTTATCATAGTTGTCAGAAAACCTAACCGCATGTAATCATAAACTTTTCTGCAAACTTTTCGTATCTTTTTTAGAACTAAATTCTGAAAGTGTAGTAATGATCTTTGAAGTTTTCTTGATTGGACCATCCACAGTTTCGGTATGTACAACCTGCAAAATGTTTGTATTAAACAAATATTGCACTAACTGATAGCTCAAAATTTAAATTTAAACATTTTTTTCGTTTTTATCACATATTGAGCAATGCTCCAATTAATTTTTGCATGCACTTTTGTTGAGTAAAAGCGTTTGTAATTCTATGCAAGCAACAAGACGTAAACTTTACAAAAAAAATCAAAGTTATGTCGGTAAAATTTATATGTCCGGCATCCTCTTAAAGTGAACTGGACGAACATACGGAGGAAACATTGTAATAAAAATTACGTTAAAATTATATTTCTTTTTAAAAAGTTTCTTGTAAAGTTGGACTATATTGAGATTGTATTATAAATTACTAGAGATGTACGAATCAAAGATTTTTTATGTCGAATAGAATCGATGAAATTTCACCCGAATCGAATCGAATGAAATAAAATCATTAAAAACATTTTTAATTAACATAATCATTGAATTTAACATAAAAATAGTGACTTCAGTAACTAACAAAGAGAGATAATATTGATCATGTAATATAAATTCATTTTAAAATAAGAGATATATAATATATAGTCGGTAAATATGTATGAAAGTTTTAGCCTTGAAAGCTGCACAACGACATATATCAATCCGATAGTTGTCGATAAAAGTTTATTTAGAAGCTATTATCTTCTTTTAATATTTTTGAAGAAAATCTTAATGTATAGCAAACTTTTCAAGTTATGCTAATTCCCGTAAGGCTGGATGTCTTTAATAGTTCTTCGTTAATGCTAAATGCGCGATCCGTATGTGAATCTTTCGATTCGAAATTTTCGAATTATTCAGATTCGAATCATAGGGATTCGAATTTGAATCGAATTGAATTTCACTTGATTCGATTCAAATTCGAATAGTTTGCACATCTCTATAAATTACTATGTAAGTAGTAAATTTGACGATCTACCTTGATGTATCGTATAAAAAATATTCAAATAATTACTTTAATAGAACAGAAAACCATGATGATGTCAGAATGACGAGAACGCGATCAAATCGTGATTGAAGAGTGAGTTTTTTAGTCGTTTTCTCCTCACCTTGACATCATTTTGACGTCATCATGATTTTTTGTGCCTGAGTACAGAAATTTTCCTATAATTTTCACTGCAATTTTTTCTCCGTATAAAATAGTGATGGAAATAATTAAAAAAAAAACGTTAACTTACTTCCTTTCCCCCGGGACACATCAAATAAGTTACAGACATTACAATATAATCGGTAATATCGGTAGACCGAAATATCCCATTCATAAATTTTGTATTTATTAGAAGGGACGAGTGTCTAAACGCATGAAGAGAAAAAAAATCTTAAGACTCCGATATCTGTGAAAATACGATAAAGTGAAAGAAAGAGGAAAAACGGTAGCAGTGTAGTGGTAGTATTCTCGAAAGTGACGGTGACTTGCTTCACTTTGTAGCTCGCGGTTTCGAGGAATAATAATCCAAGCAGGATTTACGCAACAACGAGGCGGATCAATGAGGCACGTGCGTCCCAGGGAAATTCGCGTGGTACTCGATCTCGATCCTCGTCCTCCGATATTAAACACAGTCCGGAATGGCGTAATCGCGCCAAATGCGCGCGCGCAAACGACATCAGATTATTATGCGGCGGAGGAACGATTTCGAATCGCGCGTTCCTTTTTTCCTCCCTTCCTGCCTCCCTCCGTGTAACCTTTCGAAGCCGCGGCAACGGCTACGGATCTTTGGCCGATCGTTTCGCGTGTATCTCGCCGAGCTATCTGCATTCAACGCTTATTAAAGCGCTGCAGCTTGTGATTTGCGTGCGTTAAGCGCGTTGCACGGCGACGCGGACGCGATTGCAAATTATTTCGAGTCGCTCTCGTGTTGCTCCCGCGGAGACAGTTTTCCTACAATTTCCCTGTCATGGCGGGACTAAATATCGCGTGTCTCGCAAGATTGCCTCCGCTAACTTTATTCGTAACCAATTTATTCTCGCGTCAACTGACTATGTCTCGATTTGAGACTGTAATTTATGCTATTAATAATAGTAATAATAGTAAAGCTAATATAAATATAGCCTACGTCATTTGGGTGGAAATGTTAAGTTTCTTGAAAATAGGAAGTAAAGGAATCGGAAGAGAGTTCTTGAAATAACGCAACGATTATGTTACGCAACGATTCACCGACACGACTCGATTCAATGTAACATAAATAATTTTTTATCGGGACCACCCTTCTTTTTTTACTCGATTAGAGATACGAGTAATTGTATTAAATTGGGTCAAATACACAGTTGCTTATACAGTCGTTGCTTCTTTCGTGAAAATCAATCGTGTCTACGACTATGATCTACGCTACTAATAAAAACATACACTCCGAGAATGTTTTAATTGAGTCCCTCACCATGTCGCCTTGAAGTCCATCAATATCCAGCAACGTCCAACAAAGTCCATCGACGAGATGCCGCTGTACTGCGTTGTCTTGCATCTGAAAGCCCGTTTCTGAATGTCGTCTCATGTCTACCAACAGAAAACGCCAGTCGCATTGATCATAAAATCTGAAACAAAAAATAATCCCTCTAATTAGATAATAAAAGGATAACATTCGATTTGTGGGAGAATTAAAAATATGAAGACTCAAGACTTTTCCTTCAAATTCAATAAATAATTAATAATTAATTAATAATGAATAAAAGTCATTAGATCTCGATAATCAGGATGTGTCGTTAGTAAAATACTCGAACGCGCAAGGTATCCTTTAAAATACTCAAATTTTAAATTATTTTATAAATCTCACGAAGTTTTTTTCTCGTCGTTCACGATATACTCCACAAATAATCATGATAATTATGAATATCATAATAAAGTATCATAATCTTATTCTACTCCTTTTGCACACGTATTCTGCTCGATATAGAATAATTAGAACGAACAAGATAGCGCGATGTATTCGATCCAGCGTTAAACACTGTTGTGACTGCAAGCATAGGTCGCGCGACCTTCCATATACAACATAACCGAGCCATGTCATACATGCTCGTACGGCTTGCTATTGAAAGATTATACCGTGCATTATATCACGCGTAATACTCAATGCTACATTATATTACAATAGTTAATTGTTTAGCACTCGTTCCGATAATGGCTTGGTTTACATCGTGCACTTGATATGCATACTAAGTAGTAACTTTCTATTAAATAACCTTAATATCGACGATATATATAAACAACAGTATATTAAGCTGGTATAATACTCATCAAAAAGACGTATTGTATCGATTGAATGCGTCGTCGTTGATATACATTGTCAATTTTGAGATTATTTAATAAAAAATTACTATTTAGTACGTGTATCAAGTGCACGATGTAAACCAGGTCAATGAATGTCGCAATCTTGCACATCGTATAGCAACTCATTACTACACTGAGGGAAAAATTACCTTAAAATCAACAAATATTTCTTTGATGGGTGCCATTAACATATTTATTTAAATCTAAATTTTCTTTATTTAAACCAAATATTGTTTACTTAAATCAGGTAAACAATATTTGATTTAAATAAAGAGAATTTAGATCTAAGTAAATATGTTAATGGCAGCCATAAAAGAAATATTTGTTGATTTTAAAGTAATTTTTCCCTCAGTGTATACACACAAGGAGAATTTTATTTTTTTCTAATTTATTTAAAATTTATTATCTAGTAACAATTACTATGGAACTTTTAACCGAGGAATAGATCAATATTCTATTGCGAATGACTAACCTTTCATTTCATACACCACTTATTATATTTTAGGAACTAAAATGTGCTGTTAAAGAATTTACTCTATGTTTCTAACGAAATTTGTTATATTTCTAGCGAAATTTGTTATATTTCTAGAAAAATTTTTACTGTACGTTCCTTGGCAAGATAGACGTTACTGAGAGACGATCTGTTCCTAGACTACTAAAAACACAGTAAAATTAAAAAAAATTCATATGAAAAGAAATTATAATATTTTTTTGTGTAAGATCTAATAATTACAACGTGATCAAGCGCGAAACATCATGAAGATTTTATCTTTTTAATATTGTGAAATGGTCTATTGGAGCTACGAGATATCATTAAAGTGGAGGGCGTGAGAAATATTTTAGCGACAATAATTTATCAAATCCTGTCATGTCACAAAAGTATATCTGACGGCGATTATGTGTTGATAAAAATTTCCTCAGCTCTATTACACCGCGAGTCTATCTGACGGCGATTATTCGATTCGCTCTAGAAATGATAGGGTTAAACCATACCGAGATTTCTCCGCCTCTGGAATTTCTCGCCACCCGCGACGAATCGTGCATCGAAAATCTGGATAAAACGGATCGTTCTCGCGCGGTATGAGGCGCGTCGTTTAAACGCGACGACACCGACAAACTTACGTACGCATCGCGCAATGAAATGCGCGATTTACGCGAGATCCTGGTGCCTCTTTCTCACGTGCGTGAATTCAGGATAATCTGGCGCAATTAACCGCGCTTCGCTTAACGAAAGCTTTCGTTACGAGCGGCGAACATTTATCGAACGTTGTAACGATCGGCAAGCCGTTAAATCCGTGATTTTATTCGACGACACGGCTACCACACAGTATACTTTGACGAGATAAAAGGTAAATTACGCGCGGTCCTTGCCGATCAAGGACTACAGACCCCCACCCCTCTGAATGTTTTTACTGGCAATATAGCCGCGAGATCGAACTTTTTGCCTATGACGTCAGCAATGTTTACGACGTCCCTTGTCGCGATAATAATAATAAAGATGTAAATTTCTACGGCTATTCTAGATTCTAAAAATCGCAATTTATTGAGTTTTATTATGTATATAAAAATACCATACTTATATATCAATGACGATTTATTCAGCTTTATTGTATCAGGAGACTAAATGACAGCGATCATTTAATTATTTAATACAAATAAGTTTAAACCGAAGTGCGTTTGACAATGTTCAAGATTATTACATCATCCCCCGAAAATTATAGTTTAATTTTCACACGAAAAAAAATCCACGGTAGCGCTTACTGGCCTCCCCCGCTCTTGATAAAACATTAAATCTATGAAGGTTACCCTTTCTGTACATTTATAAATTTATTCGGGATAAAACGCGCGAATGAAATTCCCTGCTTTGCAAATCGAGTTAACTTTATGCGACTTAATTGAAATATCTCAGTCTATTTAAGGAGCTGCGCACGCGAGTACACGTTGGAGTCGTGATATAAATTAAGCAGAGGCATTCGGAGATACCCGCATCGCGGTGCCTTTCTCATGCTCCACGAGGATAATCACTTGCTCGTCTAAGATGCACTTGAAAACGTGCTTATACGTTAAGCATGTAGCCATCTATTTCTCGCATGCAAAGGTCTCGTCTTATCTGTGCAGCTTCATCTCTGGACAACGTCTCGCGACCGCAGCACAATGACAATTTACCCGTAAAAATTCAACAAGTTATGGATACTTAATTTAAGCCGTTTTCCTTAATTCAACGTAAATTACTTAACTGAGCCCGTAAATATGCGGGTCGTTGCGCGAGCGTAATTACGTGGGGCGCGATAGCCGACAATTTCTCTACATTGTGTTCGAATCTAATCGAGGAGAGCGTGTAACAGGCGCTTGTCAAAGTGTGATTTCCTAATTGAAAGTACAATGGCCGCAATTCCGTGTGAAAATTGATTAAATTTCCTACGCGGTGTGTTAAAGGAAAAAGAAGAAAAACACGCGACACAGAGAGACCTCCACGAGATGATTTTCTTCGGTGGGAGCCCAATTGATATGAAACACGTTCGATTGCGTCGCGGAATGTCACTATCTTCCTTTCCCACGTGAGAGAGTACGCATCCTCGTTAGGAATTCTCATCTCGTGCGGTACACGTAATGTCAGAACGCTATTGTCCACCGCGAAGATGGGACAAGCATAAAGATCGTCGCGTTGTACGAGCGACTAAGGTTTGTAAAACGCGTCACCTTTACTCACGTGGTCACTTCCATTAAAATATTACGTCATTATTACGATCAAACGCGAATAACGACGCGATCTCGTTAGGGCCGCGATACGAGACGAGGAATTTTCTTCCTGACTCACCTTTATTTATCTCAGCATCTGCTGCCGTTGCCCTGCTAGCGATCACCGCCAGATGAAAAAGAAAGAGAAACGTCGTCATCGTCGTCGTTCGCTGGTCCAGGATGAGGGGACCTCGCGAGCATCTCCGGGGCGATGACAGGCAACGTGAATTCGCCGTTCGGCCGGCGGCTTAATTAGCCGCGTGATTTACACGATGTCTGTGATGTGTTACGTTTTCGGCCGGGCGATATAACCCTTTCCCATGATCCCAGCACGGCGTGACGGTTCCACACCGGCGCTACCGCGCGTGTTCAATAAAACACGAGACGGTCTTAATTGCCGCCGACAATTAACTCGGACGTGCGCGCTCGGTGAGCGGATGCGACGTCGCGGATCGTCACATTTGTCAGTCGTCTGAATGTGGGTCCTAGCTTTAATGGGCGCCCACCGACGTCGGGGCCACGCCGTTAACGTTTCTCTATCCGTGGGACGACGAGAAACACGCGGCTCAACACGGACGCGCCTCGTCTTCGAGGATCACGGAGGAGAGTTAGCTGATCTCTCCGGGAAGATCTACGTCGCCTACGTGGAGAACGCAAGGTCTACCGGAAGAGGACGGCGATGAGGCAATTTTGTGGAATCCGACGTTTACAACGTGCACGACGATCGTCTCGCGACTGATGCAAACGACTTCGTATGTATTGTTCTGTCTGGAAAAATAAAAGGGAAACCAAAGTGTTTTCGTGCGAGAGCTCGGCTTTATTACGGAGCGATTTAATGACGAGGCCCACCTTTAGAAACCTTGTTTCCTTGTGTATAAGAGGGTTGTGATATGCGTATACGCGGTTAATTCTGAATGTGGCGCGTGAGACGTTCGTCAAAAGTTGTCAAAATTAGAAAATTATTTTGAAGATTATTATTATTATTATTAAACTATTATTAATATTATAGAGATAAATTATTATACACAGAGAGAATAGTTTCTTCTAAGACTATAAATTGAAAATCATACTAAAATTGAACATAAAATTGAAAATCTTCGCAATTTTACTATGTTTCTAGTAGTGCAAGAATAAATTGTCAGTAAGATCTATGTGCTAAAGAACATACATTTTAAGAAAAAAATATCTAAAAAAATATCTAAAAATATCTAAAAAAATATATATATTTATTCAGTGAATACTAATAACATATTTACTTATTCAATATATTTGTCAAATAAGAAAATATTTTCTATATTTTATATATTTTCTCAAAAGCTTGGCTTTTCATAAAAGCAATTATTTATTCTATTTAAGTGAAGGATTTAAATTCAAATAAATATGTTATTGGTATCCATCAAAGAAATATTTTTCTTTTAAGATATTTTTTTTTTCAGTATAATAAAAGCTGGAAACATAACAAATTTTATAATAGCATATTTTCTAAAACACAACTAACACATGTGAAACGAAAGGATATACCCAATTG